CTTTTGTATCCGAGTCTTGACCGAACTGATCTGGATCTTCAGCTCGAGCTGCCTGAGCACATAGTAGCTGCCCCAGAGCTAATTGACAGGGGGGCATGCCAGGGGGACACGCCGCGGAACGTACCAAGGGACGCGCCAGGCGACGTGCCAGGGGACGTGCCATGGGGACGCACCGCGTGACGTAACAAGGGGACGCGCTACGGAACGTGCCACGGGACGTGCCAGGAGACGCGCTGCGCGACGTGCCAGGGAGATTCGCCACGGGACGCGCCACGGAACGTGCCAGGGAACGTGCCAGGTTGCAATGTTGAGTGTATCGATCTTGATGTACAGTGCCGAGGGTTGTGTTGTGCTGCGCCGTATGTGCCATGCCGCGATTGTGCTCTATAGCGTTGTGGACCGAGTCTTCCTTTGCATCGGAGCCTTGACCGAACTGATCTGGATCTTCAGTTCGAGCTGCCTGAGCACATAGTGGCTGCCCCAGGGCTAATTGACAGGGGGGACATGCCAGGAGGACGCGGCGGAACGTCCCAAGGGACGCGCCAGGCGACGTGCCAGGGGACGTGCCATGGGGACGCACCGCGGGACGTGCCAAGGAGACGCGTTACGGAACGTACTTATGACAAGCGTTTCGTTCGAGATATTGCCCAAATCTTCATGCTAGACATCCGGTTGGGCGACCTGGACACGTGAAAACAAGCGTTTCGCTCAACACATCCTCAGCACATCTTCATTTTAGACATCCGCCTGGGCGAACTGGACACGTGAAAACAAATGGTTCGCTCGAGACATCTTCAACACATCTTCATGTTAGACGTCCGCTTGGGTGACTTGGGCACGTGAAAGCAAGCGTCTCGCTCGAGAAGTTCTGAACACCTCCTCATGCTAGACATCCGTCTGGGCGACCTGGACACCTGAAAGCAAACGTCTCGCTCGAGACATCCTCGACACATCTTCATGTTAGACATCCGCCTGTTCGGCCTGGACACGTGAAACCAAGCGTTGCACATTCTCAACACGTCCTCATGCTCGACATCCGCCTGGGCGACCTGGACACGCGAGCACGAGCGTCTCGCTCGAAGCATCATCCGAAGATCTTTATTTTCGACATCCGCCTGGGCGACCTGGACACGTGAAAACAAACGTTTCGCTCAACACATCCTCAACACATCCTCATGCTAGACATCCGCCTGGGCGACCTGGACACGTGAAAACAGGCGTTTCTCTCGAGACATCCTGGACAAATCCTCATGCTAGACATCCGCCTGGGCGACCTGGACACGTGAAAACAAGCGCTTCGCTCAACACATCCTCAACACCTCGTCATGCTAGACATCCGTCTGGGCGACCTGGACACCTGAAAGCAAACGTCTCGCTCGAGACATCCTCAACACATCTTCATGTTAGACATCCGCGCGGGCGGCCTGGAGACGTGAAAACAAGCGCTTCGCTCGAGACCTCAACACCTCTTCATGCTAGACATCCGCCTGGGCGACCTGGACACGTGAAACCAAGCGTCTCGGTCGAGACATCCTCAAGAAATCCTCATGTCAGACATCCGCCTGGGCGACCTGGACGCGTGAAAACAGGTGTTTCGCTCAACACATCCTCAACACCTCTTCATACTAGACATCCGCCTGGGCGACCTGGACACGTGAAATCTAGCGTTTTCTTTTGAGACATCCTCAGCAAATCCTCATATTAGACAGCTGCCTAGACGACCTGGATGCGTGAAAACAATCGTCTCGCTCGAGACATCCTGAACACATTCTGATGCTGCTAGACATCTGCCTGGGCAACCTGGAGGCGTGAAACCAAGCGTCTCTCTCGAGACATCCTCAAGACCTGGGCACGTGAAAAGAAGCATTGTACCTGAGACATCCTTTGAGTTCCAGCCCCCAACTCGAGGGCAATCTATTACACAAAACAAGCGTTTCGCTCGAGACATCCTAACAAATTCTGAAAGACAAGCGTTTCGCTCGGGACATCCTCAAAAATAATTTCGCTGGCCCTACGCGCCCTCGTTTACGCAAATAGCTTCGCCAGCCCTTCGCAAGTCGAGGCCGGGGGCAAAACCTCTAAAAGAGAACCTTGGGCCGACGCCCTTTCCAGGCAAAAATTACAGGAGCGCACGCGCATACCTGTTTGGAAATGCGCGTTGCTAAACCGGTGGTATGTTGCATGTTTGCTTGACGTTCGAGTGTGAAATCGTTGCGTAACCTGTGACTTCTGAAGGCTTCGACATGCGCGTTCGACGGCACGGGCGTGCACACTTCGTCCCATCTGTTGCAACGGGTTCTCTGAAATTGGTTCTTCTTGATAATCAAGAGCGCGCGCACTATTTTCTTGGCAAGGGATGAGGGGCGGGCGGGTCGATACTGGCTTGGCCAGGATGGTACGTATTCATATTCAGATTGAATTATGGGGCAGAATCAGAAGTGAAGTGCACATCCCCTGGGGGGGCGGATAAAACCGGGGGAGATTTTGTACGTTTTCAGAGAAGGACAACATTCATGGTACAACATATATATATATATATATATATATGGCGTAATGTATGTTGTGCACTATGTAGTGCAAACTACGTGGTGGAACGCGCAGTTGTCAACTCCACCGCACGCGCCATCATCTCGCCCACACACCCGCAATCTGGTTTTCAAAATCCATGCGACCCCCATCCCTCTCTCCTCCTCCTCCTCCTCCTCTTCCTCCTCCTCCTCCTCCTCCTCCTCTCCTCCTCTTCTGCTCCTGTTCCTCCTCCTCCTCCTCCTCTTCATCCTCCTCCCCCTCCTCCTCTTCCTCCTCCTCCCATGCCGATGGCTTTCCGCAGCCCCTGGGGTGGCTTCTGTGCAGGACGCATGGGGCGGCGGCACACCCTCCCCCCCCTTGCTCAGGGGCAACGATAGCGGGGGATAGGCACAGTGGGGGGATGCATGGACCCCCAATCGCCCATTCGTCGCCGACAGAGGCCCGATAGCCCCAACCTGCCCAGGAAGGTGCGGATTCCCTATCGGGGGCCTATCGCCGATCGATCGGCGATGTGTCGCCGATTCCAGGTCGATGCATCCCCCCCCTATGCCAGTCCCCCCTTATCGTTGCCTCTCAGCCGAGGGGCCGGCCGGGCCCATGTGCGCCGCAGCGGAGATCGACAGCCTACTGCACGAGGCCGCTCGCGGCCCGCCCCGCACGCGGCGCGGTCTTCGGGGCGAGGGGAGAGCCATCGCGGGGCTTCGGAGGAGAGCAGGAGACTTCAGGGGCAACCATAGCGGGGGATGGGCACAGTGGGAGGATGCATGGACCCCCAATCGCCCATTCATCGCCGATAGGGGCCCGAAAGCCCCAACCTGCCCAGGAAGGTGCGGATTTCCTATCGGGGGCCTATCGCCGATCGATCGGCGGTGTGTCGCCGATTCCAGGTCGATGCATCCCCCCCTTGTGCCAGTCCCCCTATCCTTGCCCCTCAGGGCTGGGAAACCACACCCCCGCCCGCCGTGAAGTAATCGCGACGAGAGGTCGTTGGCCGTTTTCGTCCCTCGCTGGGCCCGGGGACCGAAGAAAAAGATCGGCAAGGGTTGAAAAGTTGGCCCCGGGGACTGGGTCGAGGCATCTTGGGGCCCACGCTGTGGAAGGACTTGTTGCCTTGGGTGGTGCCGACAAGTTCGCGCGCTCTTCTGGACGGCACCGCCGCGATCTCATACGATCAAGCGGACGTAATGACCAGCCAACACAAATCAGTCACGAAGTTTGCTTGTAAACATGTATCATCGTTGATCTGGGCCCCCCAGATAGGGTCGCAGTAGATGGGGGCGGAGGATTCCGCCGCATCGCCGATGCATCGGCGACGCGGCTCGATGTGGATCCCAGGTCCATCGACGATGCATCGGCGATGCAGTGCGATCGTCCGACCCTATCTACGGTAGGGGCGCTGGTTAATGAATGTCCCCAGGAAGCTGCAGACCTTGGAGGATTCCTTATCTCATTAGGAAGGTGCAACTTGGATCAAGCCAGCACGTCTCCTTGCTACCGAGGGCCTAGGCCCCTGCCCCCCACTTGTATCTCGCAGTGTCGGGTGGGAGGGGGCGGCCGCGCTGAGACATTCGAGACTCCTCGTGGTCACAATTGTCAGTTTCGACATCGGCATACTGATGCTCGTGTGGGTCCCTATATGCAGGTCAGGCTCGGCATCAAGACTGCCATCGACGCGCAGGTGGAGTACACGCGTGGTTTCCCCAGCGCCCTGCCGCATCACCAACGACGAGCAGTACATCTGGGACTTGGGCGTTCCATCACAGAGCAGAAGGACACGGAGCTGGAGCATGGGATTCTGTCCGAGTCGCCGCAAGTTCATGTCCAATCATGGAGCACAAGGACACGGAGAAGCGTTTCGCTTGCCTCTTTGCTTACGTGGCGTTGCTGTTTTTTGTTGCGGCGCCTCCAAGGATTCATGTCGGGACAGGGAGGTATTGGTAGGAATTTGCAGGACATCGCCGTTCAGGTCTGAGGCGCAGCTTGTGTGCAGCACTTCCAGCACGACTGTGACGCCCGAGTGCGAGGCGGTCTGTGGGCCAAAGGGTTGTACTTCATCCGCTTCCCTCGCGGCGCTGCTCCTGGAGCCAATTCCCGCAGAGGCATCGGGAGTTTTCTGGCACGCCAGAGGCCGCTCGGAACTGCTCACGTTCATTATCTACTTTGCCTGCGTGGCGTGGGACGCCTCGGGTCACAGATCCGACGAAGGCAGCTATACACCACCACCGTGCCAGATCAGGGCCATCCTGGGCCCTAGGATGGTGTATAGACCCTCCTGGCTCGGCCAGGAGGGCGCATAGACCATCTTAGGGCCCAGGATGGCCCTGGCCTGGCACGGTGGTGGTGTATAGATGTTTTCTGCGTAACGTAGGCGACGGGCAAGCGTCCGAACGAATCGAACCCGTGTGATGCTGTGACTCGTTGGATTTTTCCTGCAGGTACTCGCTGCGCGCATCGCCTTCAGCGTGGACCTGATGCTGATGACGGGTGCCATGTGGCGTGACAAGGTTGCGCAGGAATTTGGAAAGGAGCATGGGATCACGATCGCCTCGCCCGCTTGCTTCCTCGTGGCCTCAGCGCTGGCGAGGGCCCGCTGGTGGGTAGCGCCGCCAGCGACTGTGGTTTTTGCGCTGGCGCCGTCTACGCTGAAGTCGGACCTGTCCCTCTACAGGGGGAATATTCAAAAAATATTGGAAAAATAGCCTGGGGACGATTTTTGGAGTAGTCTGTACCATTTTGAAGTACTTTTTTGGAGAATTTTCATTTGTTCGTCCAAAATCCCCCTGTAGGGGACAGGCCCGACCTAGTCTACGCCGGCTGCTACATGGAGCGCGCTGGATTTCGACGTCACTTCGGGCCGCCCTGGGGAGGGACCCCATTCGGGGAAGAGAGGCGACCGAGGGCAGACCGCAGCTGCAACGGCGGGAGAGGACTGTCGTCGCCTCCCTTCGGGAGACGGAGCGAGTGCAGCCATGCGATTTGCTGGACGCCCGAACTCTGCCCTTTTCCGCGCCGTCAGTCACCAGCTAACACAGGTCATGGTAATGAATGAACGCGCGTTCTACAAGCAAATTATTTGAAAAAACGATGATTTATTACAGCGAGAAGCGGATGGATTAAATTGCGCCGCCTCATCAAAACAAGACAGAACATCATTTAGTAAACGCATAAGCCGGTTACTAAATTCAAACGGATGTTCTAAATCCGGGGCCGTTTGGTTTAATCCCAGCTCCTATCATTACCATAACAGGAGTGGCTCGATCAGTCAAAGCAGTCCACGGGACGATGGAGTCGCGGGCATGGAGCAAACAATGCGCAGTCCCGAACATCGACGACGCCATGCCTGTCGTTGCCGATCCTCCTCCAGTGCGGCGGCACTGCCGAGTCGAGGCGTGCCCCTTCGCGGACCTTGCGAGGCACCCGGGGGGGTCCAGCGTCCAAAGCCTCAGCTGGCATTTGGATGCCCACCTGGCGGGGCAACATGCCGGAGAGGTGAGTTTGAAGTGGCTGCGGCGGCACAGCCGCAGTCGGTGCCAGGTCTGTGGCTTGCGCGCAGCGGGCGCCAACCGCGGGGTGCACGTTTCCCGCCGGCCAGCTGGAGCCGCCCTCCGACCAGCTGCAGCACCGCCTCGGGCTCAAGGGGCCCTGCAAGCAGCTCACGGCGCCAGGGCGCGCCCCCCTTCGGCTCCGGCCGACATCCACGAGGCGGAGGCGGCCACCCTGAAGCACGTACCCAAGCTGGCACGCGCGGTTCGGTCTCGCACGTTCGTCCGCTGTCTCGCGAACGCTGCGGCGCAGAACTCGGTCGCCACGCGGACGGACCTCCAGCCGGCGGCAGCAGCTGCGCTCGGCGCGCCGCCCCGCGCTGGGCCCTGGTGGGAAGCGCGCGCTCAGGGCGAAGGGCAGCGGCGGCGCGGGCAGCAGCCGCCGACGACAGAGCAGCGGGCAGCCCGAGCCCGCGCTGGAGACGACGGCCCACGCGCTGGAGCGCTGGCACCCCCGCGCGGCCGCCCGATTGCTGGGCCGCTTGGACGAACTCCTGGCCGCACCCGAGCTCACGCCGAACTCGATTATGCGGGCGCTGCGGGCGGCCCCCAAAGGGGCGGCCCTTGGGCCCTCCAGCCTGCGAGCGCAGCACCCGCTTGACGCTTTGACCCCGGCCACCCGGGCGATGGTGACAGAGCTGCTCGCCGCGGCGTGCTAGACCCTCGCCAACGGAGAGGCCCCCCGAGAGCTGGTGCCGCACTAGGCAGGAGCGAGCTTGGTGGCGCCAGAGAAAGAGAACGGCGGATTGCGATCGATCGCAGCGGGCGAGGTCATGCGCCGCTTGACGGGCAAGGCGCTGGACGACCACGTCAAGTGACGCACTCCCAGGCACCCTGGCCGCTGCAGACAGGCAGCCGCAGCCCTTGGAGGCAGAGGCCACGGCGCGCGCCGCGCGCCAGCGGTGCGAGAGGAACCCAAGAGTGGACGACGAGGAGATGCTTAAATTTGATGTTGCGAACGTTTTCAATTCGCGAAACAGAGACTCCACGCTGCGCGCCTTCCGCCCCCACTCCCCGGAGCTGGAGCGCTGGGCTCACGCGGAGTCGCCCAACCTGCGCTTCGACAGCCACGTCTTGTCCTCGCAGGCGGGCGCGCAGCAATGGGACCTGCCCGGGCCGCTGCCCTTCGCCCTCGCCGCGCACTCAGTGCTGGAGGAGCTCGCGGACGCTGCAGACCTGGACCTGTGCGCCCCCCACTTGGGCGACGACCTCCTCGCGGGGTCGCAGGAGGCGGCGGCGCGCGCATTCGACCTGCGCCTTCTGCCCCATCTCCGCAAGCGCGAGCCCGCGGCCCCCTGCGAGCGGGCGCCAGCTGGCCTGGCGGGCTTTTTCCCGGCACCCTTCCCGGTGGACACGGAGACTGGGGCCGACCGCGCAGCCTTCCGAGGCGGCGGCAATTTCTTGGGGGCCTTCGCGCGGGGCGCAGGAACACGGCGAGGCCCTCGCCCCGACGCCGCGCCGACAAGTCCAAGTCCGCTTTGGAGGGGCTCGCCAACGCGCACCCCCAGGTGGGCCTCGCGCTCCTGCGCCGCCCGCCTTGCTCTCGGACGCGCTGCGCTGCTTCAACCACGGCCAGCGGCGCGCGCTGTCGAACTTGCTCGCAGCGGACCCGACGGACACGCAGCGGGATCAACTTGCCTGAGGATTCGCCCGCGCTGGGCTACGTCTGCGGCAGCTGACTGCTCGCGCACCCGGACCTGGCCAGCCTCGCAACCGCGCGGCACCCTTGCGGCGACCTGGGAGCATGGGTCGGAGGACGCGGCCACGATGGAGGGGCGGGCACTCGGCGCTCGCCACGCCGCGCCGCCGCCGACGCACTGCCTGGACTTGGCCGCGCTCAACGGGACCACGCAGAAGCACCCCTCGGCCGCCCCTCCGAGGGCAGAGGCCACGGCGCACGCCGCGCGCCAGCGGCATGAGAGGAACGCAGGAGTGGGCGACAAGGTGATGCTCAAACAACGCTTTCAACTCGCTGCACCAGGACTCCGCGCCGCGCGCCTTCCGCTCGCGCCAGGCTCACGCGGAGTCGCCAAATTTGCGCTGCAGCAGTCACGTCTTGTCATCGCACGCGGGTGCACCGCACGGGGGCCCTCGAGGGCCGCTGCCCTTCGCCCTCGCCGCGCACTCAGTGCTGGAGGAGCTCGCGAACGCTGCAGACCTGAAACTGCGCGCCCCCTACCTGGGCGACGGCCTCCTCGCGGGGTCGCAGGAGGCGGCGGCGCGCGCATCCGACGCGAGCCGCATGCCCCACCTTCGCAAGCGCGAGCCCGCGGCCCCCAGCGAGCGGGCGCCAGCTGGCCTGGTGGGCTTTTTCCCGGCACCCTTCCCGGCGGACACGGAGGCGGGGGCCGACCGCGTCGCCCCCCGAGGCGGCAGCAGGCCCCTGGGGCCCTCGCGCGGGGCGCAGGAACACGGCGAGGCCTTCACCTCGACGCCGCGCCGACAAGACCAAGCCCGCCTTGGAGGCGCTCGCCAACCTGCACCCCCAGGTGGGCCTCGCGCCCCCGCGCCACTGCGCAATCTTTCCAAACGCGCACGTCGAACCCGCTGCACCACTTCAACGACGGCCAGCGTCGCGCGCTGTCGAACTTGCTCGCAGCGGACCTGACGGACACGCAGCGGGATCAACCTGCCCGAGGACTCGTCGCAGGGCTGCGCCAGCGGCAGCTGACTGCTCGCGCACCCGGACCTGGCCAGCCTCGCAACCGCGCGGCCCCCCCGCGGCGACTTGGGGACTTGCGCCAGAGGACGCGGCCACGCGAGAGGGACGGGCACTCGACGCTCACCACGCCGCGCTGCCGCCGGCGCCCTGCCTGGACTTGGCCGCGCTCGGCAAGCGAGGGCACCGCGTCTTCCGGGCCAGTTGCATGGACGCCGCAGACCAGGCTGGGCTGACATCCGGTCAGAGACGTTGCCCGGCGCCCCCGGCTTCCTCGAAGCGCGGCCCAGCGAGCAGCTGGGGTTCCTCTTCGAGCACATCTGCCCGCGCTGCGAGGGCGCACGCCGCCACTGCCGGCGCGCAGGCTTGCGCGCGGAGGCCCGGGACCGGGTCCACTAGCACAGCACATCGGGGCGAGGAACTTGGTCGGCGTCATCGCTACCAGCGCGGGCTTGAAGCCGACGCTCGAACAGTCCAGCGACCTGCCACCGCGCCCAGACGACGCCCAGGCGAATAGACGCCAGCTTGTTGATGTCTAAATCCCCTCCTGCTTCCACGGGGCCCCTACTGCTCTTGACTTTGCGCTTTCTTCGCCGCGCAGGCAGGCCGCTTGAGCGCCAGTTTTCCGGAAAATCGGGCACGCGGCGCACGAGCACGAGATGACCAAGACCCAGACCCCCTCGCGCTGTGGAAAAATCGCGACGGGAGGTTCGTCGCTATCTTCGGCCTCCAGGGGCCCGGGGAAGCAGCAGGGAATTATTCATGCCCCTCGCGATCGTTTGTTTGACATTGGCAGAGACGGAGAAACCTCCAGAACAGGTCATGGTTTGCCGCCCTGCCGTCTCGATCCGAAAATATCATGGAGGCGGAAATTCCATTTGTTTTCAGGTCCAGGCCCTGCATTTCTTATCTACTGGTTCCTTCTCCAATGCCTTCACCGCACGCCGGCCCCATATGGGGGGCTTTCACCGTCCTCCCGCATGGTAAAGATGAGCGACGTTTCCAAGGGCACCCTTGCATCCTTCCTTCCTCGGTCCATCCTTGGCCACTTTCGTTGGCCGCGCCCTGCTCGAAAAGCTCCGAAAGGGGCGTACGAGGCCCTTGCATCCTTATCGCGCATCCTTATGATATGGGCCGGCTGTACTTCATCCTAAGACCCGTTTCGCGACCCGTTCGAGAAGCGGCGGCGGGCGGTGGGCTCTCCCAGCCGCGGGCGCCCGCCCGCAGCCGCGGGCGATTGTTGTGACTCGACGCGCGGCGCGCAGCGGTTGTGGCAGGCAGAAGGGTTCTACGAGGTTCGAGGACCGAAGAGGAAGAGGAAGAGGATCCAGACATGCCCACGTCGCGAACACATCACGGTGGCAGGTTTTGGCCGCTGTCGGGCCCCAGTGGGTGGCCTTCGCTGGCCCCCGAGATTGTCAAATGACGACCCGGGATGAAAAGCAGGCCTCGGGGAAAGCGGCTAGACTCTTGGGGACCCCGCATTGAGAAAGATTGGATTTCGCACGCGCTGGGAAGAGGGTCGACGTTTGCGAGCGTTTTCGGCTGTGCCTGGGTTTCCTGAGGGTCTTCTGGAGGCCTCCTCCAAGGACGGCTGGTCTGGTCTTGCCTTCGGTCGGGGGTTTGGGGGGCCCGCTTCGGGCAACGACTGCGACGACGGCGACGACGACGACGACGACGACGACGACCCCAACGACCCCGACGACCCCGACGACCCCGATGACCCCGACGACCCCGACGACCCGACGACACCGACGACCACCCCGACGACCACGATCACCACGACCATCACGACTGGCGACGGCGGCGGTGACGACGTCGACGACGACGACGACGACGACGACGACGACGACGATGTCGACGACGAGGACGACGACGACGACGACGACGACGACGACGACGAAGTCGGCGTGGCGCTGACGACGGCGACCGCGGCCTTGGCGACGGCGACGGCGACGGCGGCGCTGGCGGTCGCGAGAAGGAGGCCTCGGGCGGGCCGCGCAGCCACCCCGGAGGTGGCGGCCTACTGCCGCTGGGGCGACTCCGCCGAGGCGGCGCACAGGCGGCGCACACTGGATGACCACGAGGAAGATGACGACGGAGACTACGACAGCGACGCCGACAGCGACGGCGACAGGAGGAAGAGGAGGAGGACGACGACGACGCAGCCCCCCAGCATCGCCTCCCCACCTGCCGCCGCGCTCGACGGCGGCGATCGCCGATCCAGAAACCCACCACCGCCAAAAAACCGGCACCACAGCATGGCCGACAAAGACGACGACGACGACGACGACGACGACGACGACGACGACGACGACGACGACGGCGGCGGCGACGGCGGCGGCGGCGACGGCGACGGCGACGGCGACAGCGACGGCGATGGCGATGGCGTCGGCGACGTCAACGACGACGGCGATGACGGCCAGAGCGGCGATGCCGATGAGTCCAACGACGATAACAAGGACAACGCCGACGACTATCATACGGGCGATGCCATGCTGTCCTCCTCCGCCTGTGGACATAGGTCCGCTTTTGTTGCACCGTGTTTCTTCCTCGTCTTCCGTTTCATCGCCTTCCCACCTCATGCGGATAGGGTTTTTTGTTATGATCGTTTGGGGCCGCCAGGGGCTTAAACATAAACGCAACACATCTTGCCGCTTCGTCTTGCCAGGGCTGACCATTCCCTCTCCTGTTCCTCCGTTTCTTCACCCTCATCTCCCCCTGCCCCTCTTGAACTTGTCCGTGCACAGATGGATTCCTGTGCACGGCTGCCGTGGCATTCGGGTCGACATTGACAAATCGCGCGGACCATGTCGCACCATGCCCTCACCATTCGGGTCGATGTTACAGTGGAGACCCACGCCAAGAAACACCTTGCGCACCTCCAGGATGCCTTGGATTTCTTGTGTTCCGATGGCTCTGCTATGGAACGCGTGGCGTCCCCACACCAAAAATATAAATGGACGTCCTGGGGTCTCGGGGTTGGGCTTCTTGTGGAAGGCTTCTTGTGGTCGTGCCTCCACTGTGATCTCGCTGGGGGAGAATGCCCTGCTGTGCCACAGGGCTGGACCTGAACGCTGTGTTGCTGGATTTCGGCTGTGTCTTTGTTTATCGTTGTTTGGGAGGGGGACACAGGAAAACAGGCAGCGCAAAACGAGCACAAGACTGAAGACAACGTGTAGGCCCAGCCCTGCTGTGCCAGACGGGTAATCCAAACCGTGAGTAGCTTTTCGCTTAACCGTGAGTGGATTTTCGCTTAACCGTGAGTGATCGAGTGCACGCTGTGAGCCCACGCTGTGAGCCCACGCTGTGGTGAGCCCACGCTGTGGTGAGCCCACGCTGTGAGCCCACGCTGGGGTGAGCCCACGCTGTGGTGAGCCCACGCTGTGGGCTCACAGCGTGGGCTCACAGCGTGCACTCACAGCGTGCACTCACAGCGTGCACTCAATCACTCACGGTTAAGCGCAACGCTCCTCACGGTTAAGATCTATTCTCGTTGTGCCAGGCCTCATCCGTCGGGGGGCCCCCGCCGCAGGCTGGAGGCCGCCGCCCTGCGCGCCCGGGCCGCCGCCGCGGAGGAGGAGCTGCAGGCCGACCTGCGGCCACGGCCTCCCTGCGTTTCGGGCTCCTTGGCCGCTGCGGCGGGCCGCGCGCCAGCTTTTCGGCGTTAGATTTGAGGCCAGCGTCCCCCTCTTGAGGATCCTCCTCCTTCTCCTCATCCTCCTCCTCCTCCTCCTCCTCCTCCTCCTCCTCCTCCTCCTCCTCCTCCTCCTTCTCCTCGCTTGACACACCCCAACTCTTCGACCCCTCGCACTCACGCCGCTGCAGCGTTCTGGATCCTCCTCTTGAGGATAGCCTCTGGGCCTTCGAATGTCTAGCTTAGGGACGAGCCTGGCCCCCCCACGGAGCGTTTCTCTCTTTCTTTCCTTGCCGTTCGTGCCACCAGTGGCCTGCAGCATATTCGGCCGCCGAGCCAGGGTCGGGGACGACCCAGACATGCTCGCGGTGTGACAAAAACACTACGTTAGGGGGACGGTTTCGGCCTCTGGGGGCTTTCGCCGGGCCCTGGGACAGTTAAAACATGATCGGCCCACGAACCCAGAAAGTGATCGTTTTCTTGTGCATTGTTTTGCCGATCGGCGCGGGCCCTCGCACCACACCACCACCCCCTCCCTAGAGTAGATCTTGGCTGTTCTGGGCGCCTGTTTCTAGCAGGTGGAGACTCCCCGATGGGACGCACTGCTGCAAACAATCGCACTAAGCAGAGGTCGGGAGCCAGACCCCCCTTCCCCTCTCCCCCCCTTCCGCCCAATGTCGAAACGCCGGATAAGAAAAAGTTCACAAAGGGATTGAGACTTGCGAGGCATGGAACCGTTTCTGAGGACCTCAATCGCACATGCAACTGGTCGACGCCAGGGGGGCATGCCAGGGGGACGCGCGGCGGAACGTCCCAAGGGACCCGCCAGCGGACGTGCCAGGGGACGTGCCATGGGGACGTACCGCGGGACGCGCCAAGGGGACGCGCTACGGAACGTGCCACGGGACGTGCTAAGGGGACCCGCCGCGCGACGTGCCCAGGGGGATTCGCCACGGGACGCGCAAACGGAACGTGCGGGGGAACTTGCCAGGCGGCGCGCCAGGGGACGTGCCAAGGAACGCGTCAGGGAACGTGCCACGGGACGCAGCACGGGACGCAGCACGGGACTGCGCTCCCAGGCAAGCCCTTTTTTCTACTCCAAGAAAAGCGTTTGCATCCCCCCCGCCCTCCCCCCCCAAACGCCGCGGAATAAGAAAGGGGCAACGCACGGCGGACCTATGAACGAAGCCATTACGACGGGACCACGCTCCCAAGGCCACGACCTCTTGTAAAGTACGTTGCGTACGCTGTCCTTGCGCTACGATCACTCGTAAACGACGCTGCGTCTACCCTCCCAAGGTAACGATCCATCGTACATCATGCGGCGTCCGCGCTCCCAGGGCCGCGATCCCTCGTAAATTACGCGGGAGTCACGCTCTCAAGGCCACGGTCCCTCGACAGTTACACTGGATTCGCGCTCCCAGGGCAACGATCCTTCGGAAATTATACAGGATTCACGCTCCAGGGCAACGGTCCCTTGTAAATTACACCGGGTCTCGCGCTCCGAGGGCCACGACCCCTCGTGAATTGCGCTGGGTTCGCGCTCTCAGGGCCAGGATCCCTTGTGAATTACACTGCGTCCGTGCCACCGGGGCCACGATCCCCTGTCAATTACACTGTGTCCACCCCCCCAGGGCCAGGATCCCTTGTAAATTACGCTGCGTCCGCGCTCCCCGGGCCGGCAAAGCTGCGTCGGCGCTCCCAAGACAACGATACATTGTAAATCACGCGGTGTCCGCGCTCCCAGGGCCACGTTCCCCAGTAAATTACGGTGTGTTCGAGCTTCCAGAACCACCTGGGCATCTTGGGGCGCCCAGGCCGCTCAACTACTGCAAAACAAGCGTTTCGCTCGAGACATCCTCAGATATGCGGCGCGCAGGGCGCGCCATCCTCGAGCGGGCACGCAAAGAGTAGATTCTTTCATTGTCTTGCAAATTTCAATGCCTCCAGACCTGTTGTTTTATCGCGGAGACTGCGCAAAACACTCCGCACCTTGTTTTTAACAAGGGAAAGCGTGTGCACGCGCGAAACGCACGTTTTACTAAAATATGCTTTGTTATTTGTTGCAAATAATTCCGCCGGGCCTCATCAAGTCGAAATTGGGGGTAAACATCTAAGAGAGAACCCTGGGCTGGAGCCCTATTCAGGAAAAACACGAGGGATGAACAATCAGCCCAGGGAATGGGGCGGGACTTCTGGAGACACCGTATTGAAAAAATCAAGACAATTCATGTTTTGGAAGAGGCCCCGTGGGTCCGTTTGTAAAGCCAATTGGGAGGGCCTCTTGCTATAGAAGCAGTGCGCTCGTGCCAAAAAAGCGCGGCCATCGGCATCGTCAGCATGAAGGAGCAAGGGAGGAAGAAGGAGCCGGCGTTGCTTGCACCGGACCTGACATTCTAGTAGAGAGTGTCATCCTACCGATTTCCAGTTCCCCATCGCTTCAATCGGGTAAAAAGGTAAGACTCGAGTTTGCTGAAACTCGGGTTCGCCGAAGTTTTTTGACGGGCCCGTCCTGGAATGTCCACAGTTCAGTTATCGTTGGATGTTTGCAGCGAGAGCTCGCGTCAAATTTCATATTGGTTCTCGCCATTTTCCTGGCGGCCCCGTCAGGCCAACCCGGGGACCCCGAACCCGAGTTCTATGTCTCCCCGATGCAAACGCGGCAAAAAGGTGTGCAATGCGTCGCCACTCCAGACATTCGCTATCATCCCTCCCCTTGTGTTTCCACCTAGTGCTACCTCCGCATGGTAGCAGCGCGGGCGAGGGCATTCCAGGATGAAGACCTCCGGCGGCCTTGGGAGACTCTCCGCAGCGTAAACATTTCAAGGTTGCGTAACGACTGCCATTGCCGAGATCGCCCAGCAAATTGTTTTGTTGCCACCTCCTCCGAAGACTGGTCCTCTCAGGTGCAAAGGTCGGTCTCCCCGTACAGTAGGCACACCTTCGGTTGCATGGGAGCCATGTATGTCCTCTTCATTCCGTCTCTAGCGAAGATTAGCGTCTGGGAACCGATGGGATAGCGCCGATGTAGCGTCGGCTAGCGTCGATTCAGCGTCGATTTAGCGTCGATTCAGCGTCGATTTAGCGTCGATTCGCAGGAGCCGACAAGATGGTGCGGGAGGCTCCCATGGAGTTGCCACCGAGCACACCGATTAGGAAATCGGCCTGCCAGCAGCTGCCCCTCGGAAATTCAGGAGGGGAAAAAACACACAGACACAATTAATCTTCGATTCCCCAGAAAATATGGGAAATGAGGGGGAAGACAAAAAACCCAGAAAATATTGGAAAATGTGGGGAATCAGTTTATTTGTGTGTATTTATTTTTGTGTCCTGGGGCCCCTTCAGAAATGTCTCCTCCTCGAGGGCCCCCAAGGGGGGGGACACTTTTCATGACCCTCAAAGATCGACAGAGAAGGTGCCCCAGGAGGCATTTTTTTATCACCTGGCGACGGGCGTGGCCGCGGGGGAGGGGAGGAGGGGAGAGAGGGAGGGGCCGAGAACGTCACGATTCGCGCCAGCGCCGTTTTAGGGAATGCTCAGGACTGGCCAGTTCCCAGACGGTGAATGCGAGAATCGTAAAGTCGTGACCAGGTGGGG